CAGCGAAGCGGCAGCGAGGGGAGAGCCCGGCCATGGAGTTCACAGTGATCGACTACAGCATCTTCGCCCTGCTGCTGGTGTTCTCCTCGGCCATCGGGCTGTTCTATGCCCTGAGCGGGGACCGGCAGGGCACGGTGCAGGGCATCCTCCTGGCCCCCTCTCCTTACTGGCCACCTTCCAGTCGGCCGTGGCTATCCTGGGTGTACCAGGAGAGATCTATCGCTATGGAACCCAGTACTGGTTCCTGGGCTGCTCCTACCTGCTGGGGTTGCTCATCCCGGCCCACATCTTCATCCCCATCTGCTACCGCCTGCGCATCACCAGCACCTATGAGGTGAGCAGGGGAGGGGACACGCACGGACAGCGTGGGGGGCGTTCCCCCAGCTCTGCACCCCGCGGGGCGGGTGCCCTGACCCGTGTATCCTCACAGTACTTGGAGCTGCGCTTCAACAAGACTGTGAGGTTGCTGGGGACTGTCACCTTCATCTTGCAGATGCTGAGTGGGGTGGGGGGGTTTGGGTGGGAGGTGGCAGGGGGGAGGGCAGGGCCGGCTGCAGTGCTGCTCTCCCCCCAGGTCATCTACATGGGAGTGGTCCTCTACGCGCCCGCCCTGGCTCTCAATGCAGGTGAGAAGGGTTGGGAGGGGGGGTGCTGTGCTGGGATCCCTATTCTGCATGGGGGCAGTGACCCATCCGCTCCTTAACAGTCTCTCTTCCTTGCAGTGACAGGCTTTGACCTCTGGAGTGCAGTGCTCACTATGGGACTGGTCTGCACACTCTACACCACGGTGGTGAGTCTCTGCACCTCATGGGGCCAGGGAGAGTCCTGTGCCACCCCTCCCAGGTGGTGGTGAGAACCCCACGGCACCCCAGGCTGTGGTGATGATCTGCATGCCCCCCACAGGCTGCAGTGACATCCCTGCAATCATGGTCCCTGAGCCCCACCTTAGGTTATGGTGATGGTCCCCATATCCCCCTCCCCCCCATTATACTGATGGTCCCTGTGCCCCTCCCGGGCTGTGGTGATGGGCCCATGCCCCACCGAGTTCTGGTGACGTCCTGGTGTTTCCACAGGGTGGGCTGAAGGCTGTCATCTGGACTGACGTGTTCCAGACACTGGTGATGCTGGCGGGGCAGCTGGCTGTCATCGTGGTGGGTGCCCGGCGTGTGGGCGGCATGGCCCATGTCTGGCACCTGGCCCATCTGGAGGGCCGGGTCTCTGGCATCAAGTGAGTCTCCTCCCACACCCTGCCTCCCGCTGCCTTTTCCTGCCCCACAGCACGAGGAAGCCCAGAATGGCATGAGGACATGTGGGGTGTGGTGGGGACAGAGGCCCCAGCACAGCTGGGAACATGCAGAGTGGCTGTGGTGGGGACAGGGACCCTAGCACAGCATGGGAACATGTGGGGACAGGGACCCCAGAATGGCATGGGAACATGTGGAGGGGCTGTGGTGGTGACAGAGACCCTGGCATGGCATGGGGACACGTGGGGCTAGGGTGGGGATAGGGACACCAGCAGGGGTGGGGGCTGTTCCTGCTACCCCCTGGCATGCCAGGGATGACCCATGCTCTGTTCCCCGTGTCCCCAGCCTGGACCCTGACCCCTTTGAACGGCACACCTTCTGGACACTGGCAGTGGGGGGGGTCTTCATGATGCTGTCGCTGTACGGGGTGAACCAGGCGCAGGTCCAGCGGTACCTGAGCGCCCGCAGCGAATGGGAGGCCAAGCTGTGAGTGGGGCGGGGGCTGGGGGGCGGAGCTCAGGGCTGGAGATCAGATCCCCCACACCCACCCTCGCCTCTGCCCCGCAGCTCCTGCTATGCTGTGTTCCCCTGCCAGCAGCTTGTGCTCTGCCTCAGCTGCCTCCCCCGCC